CCTTTACAGAAGTAGAACAAATACCTGTGCACAAGCTGATGTTTGAGGCTTTACAATCACATTTCAGAGAGCAGCTTGACACAGATGGGACCATGTTTTCAGAAGGGCTGTGCAGCCTCAGGGCTGCATAAATGGAGCTTGGCAATGCCTGCTCAGCACTTTTGAAGGCAGGGAAAATCCAGCAACCAAACCCCCCAAGATGTTCACATTAACAGTGAGTGGTCAGTCTGGCACCTCTGGCCCTAATGGGAAAGTTTTAATACCAATTCCTCCCCAAAGCGGTCAGTCTTAGGAAAACCCCTTTCACTTTCTATTTAAAATGAAAATGCCAGAAATTCCTTGCTTTCACCTTAGAACAGAATACAGAGTAAAATGTAGTATTACACCCATTTGAGGCACCACCCTGGGGCCACAAGGTGAGTTCACCTCTAAGACACGAGCAGGCTTGCAGGTGAATGAAGGAGCACCCAGGCATTGCTCGTGCTGATGTACAGGACAGCTGGATGTGCTACGAACAGACAGATTCCTCCTTCGCTGCTAATGTCTGTGCTCAAATTAGTGTCTTTGGGATGAACGGCTCTTGCAAAATAAACACAGCGAATTCTTAGAACTCATCTAAGCAGCAAAGGAAATCCCCTGAACGAACTGGGTTCGGTGCAGGGGTTTGGAGTTACACGCTGAGAAACTTTGCTTGTTTAACAGAGAGGCTTTCTCGAGGGTAATAAAACTCTCGCATTGTTGTGCCAGGGATTTTCCATTAGGTGTGTGTCAGCGGGTGGTGGGAGCTGCAGTTTCTGTGGCCGGTCATAGAAATGGAATGAGATCACCCGGAGAAGCCGGCCACAGATCGCAGTGAGTCCACGGCGGCACGAACCGGGAGGACGGCTGGGGGAGGGATGTTTGCGTACTGCTAAGGGGTCCCCAAAAGGGATTTTTCTTTTTCCTCGTGCATCCACTAGCTAGCAGTCATGTTCACATCTGATAAAACAGTCCCAAGTTTTCTCTGTTTTACTTCAACCCAGGGGAAAGTCTCTCACCAGACAGGCTAAGTGAGGCTGACGTATGGTTCTGCCTCTTTCCCAACTCCCTAAAATCCCATAAGCAACCCCACAGCATGGAGACAGAGAACTACAGCCTCTCCCTTTCCAACCCAAGGCCTCTCTAGGGAAGGCAGTGGTCAAACCTCATGCAATCCCCCACTACCCTAGGCAGAAGGGGCTGAGGGACAGGAATTCACCCGGACTCAAGGGAGCAGTGATCCCATAGCAGACGAACCTACAACTCTCTGATACTAATTGTTGAGGACAAGGAGTGAAGGACACGGTTTCGTGTCTGGATCAGACCACATTGATGCCTACAGCAGCCTGGGGCAGGACAGCACTATGTGCATCTCTGCCTATGTTAAAAGACACCTCATATTACATCACTAAGGGTTCTTCTCACTCATGTGTGATGGGGAGCTGTTTTTTAAGGTGTGAATTAATGGGTACTCAGGTATGCAACCAGAAGGTTGTAGCCATAACATTTTTGCCAACTGCAGGGGAAAAAAAAAAAAGCACCTCTGCCTTCCCTTTGATCCCTTTGATGAAGTATTCATTTTGCACATCACTGCTCTGGGGATGCCAGTTAAGGTTAGTTGTTCTTAACCTCCCTGCTTCCTGGTATTGCTTTTCCTACTAGTTGCAATCAGCTAGTGCCATAAGCCCACCGATGGGCATCATAAGAGCACGGAGTGTTTGGCTGTGAAACAGAAGAACACACATTGACTGTAACTATCCCCACTCCTATCAGATTTCCTCATGGAAACACTAATGCACAGTGAACAGGCAACATTTCCCTGACAAGACCGTGATACCATCACAGGCCTCACTCCCAAATCAGGTCGATACCAATCTACAGTTTCATGATGTAAGATTTCAGAATGGGCCTGGTGCCTCCAAACCACCAGAGCGGGTTGATGAAGGTGACACAGAGCCACCGAGGAATCAAGGCGCTTCCCCTCAAGCTGTGCTGGCCAGCTTGACCTTCAAAGATCATTTCCACTGTTCAAAACCACAACAATATCCCTCAGGATAAGGCCAATGGGTATTTTTATTTGCTCCTTCAGGAGTATAAACTCCGAGCTGGCTGCCTAATGGCACGATTCTCCCGGACACATCCTAACGAGGCAGGGCAGCATCCAGTCTGCGTGAGGGATGCTGAATGACTCCCACCTCCTTTGCAGTCAAGTGCAGGGCAGTGCTTGTGCTGGGGGCTGTGTGCTGGCTCCTGTGGAGGTATACTCAGTACTATGAAATTTAATGATTGTAGGCAGAAAGTCACCACTGAAATTATGTATGGAATGGTCTTAAGACTTGCTCAAAGAGGAATTTGTTCTTTAAACTGGAGCCCAAATGAAATTCTGCAGATCCCATCTACATCTAATTGTGCTAAAGCCAAGGCAGAACCACACACGTTCCTCCCACAGTCCCCAAGAAACCTGAGCCACAACACAAAGGGCATAGCTCCTAGAGCCTCTGGCAAGATCGTCCTTACAAATGGGCAGTAGCTGTGATGGAAGCATGAAATTTGGCTTTCCTGGTCTTCTCTGAAAGCCAAGGAATACAATTCTAGCCAGCAGGCTGGACAGCAGCAGGGGAAGTAGCAGGGCTGGTCCTGGCAGTGCTATAAGCATTGTTAGCAATGGGGGAAAGGCAGCAATAGGATTGGAAGAAGGACATGCAGAGGGAAAATGCAAATGTTGAAAATAGCATTGAGAAAGGGATGAGCTCTAAAGAAGTAAAAGCTGAGAGGAAGAGGGAGCTAAAAGAGCTGTAGCAAGTTCAACTTGTGTATGAACACTCAAATTTCTTTATAATCTCCCTCCTTGCTTGAGGCAACAGAGCATGGGTTGGCTCCAAATGATTTGAAACCAACTACATCGCACTGGAAGGATGGGTCTAGCCTGGAGCAGACCATGTGAAACTGATAAATAAAGAGAGGAATGAGACAAAGAGGGAATCTTGGAGGTGTGGGGAGGAAGTAGGTGAAATAACATCTTGAGAATGGATGTACTTTCTGTAAAACAGAAGAGATGGCAGGAAATAGATGTGATCCATTTAGTATTGTGTGCAAATCCCTAGGCACCACACAGTTTCATCTGCAAGCTTGTTCCTTTACTGTAGTTTACTGTAGGAAAACTTTGGGACTTAGGCATGAACCACCAGGTCTGTACCAAGCACCCTGGGAGAACATCTTATCCTTCCTGACCTCTCAGCACTGTGTATGCCATCTAATTTTGATATTAAATGTATTTCTATGAACTGGTGTGTTATGCTCATGCCTGTGCTTGGCATTAAACAGCTACTATATTCTATCTTGCATCCAGAAGGACGGCTGCCTTAAGCCAATGCTACAGGAACTTTAAAATAAAACATAGCATACGTTCAGGATGACTAATACATTCCCTGGTGCTGGCTTATATAGAACATATTGGAGAAGTTGCTTTATTTTGTGTCTGTCTTTTAGAAAATGTGACTCCCCATCCGTTTTGCTCAGCTGGGGACAGCAGACAGCCTTCCCACGGGAGCATAGGGCTGCGGAGATGTGGCTCTTCCGAAGCACCTCCGCATCTCTCCTCAAAAAACCTCTGAGGAGCAGCTCTGCAAGGGGCAAGGTGATTTTCATTCATGTTAACTCAGCCTTTTTAATCACATCTAGGAAGGAGTCCAAGAGTCCCTCTGAAACATCCATGAGAACCCAGCCGAGGGAAACGTAGGCTTCTTGTGGGCTTTTAAGTCAATAAAACCCAGTGCTCAGTTGGTCCCGGGGGCCCTATCTGCAATGGGAGGGTGATGGCAATGTACTGAGCCCATCTGATTTCCCAGTCTGTTGCTTTCTTGCCATCCCCCAGCTCCCTCCCTAAATCACTTTAGGTGACAACCAGTCCAGATTGATGTGAATGTGACAGGGAAAGGCTCCTCCTTTCCTCCTTTAGCTCCTTGTGCTCACCACTCATACCGAGGTATCTAAACCCGAGCTGCAGGCATAGTGCCTGTGTCTGGGTGAGAGGTGAGCTGTCCTGAGCAAACAAGCAGGTTTCCTTTCACAAAGCACTACTTTACTCTCTTGGTTAGCTAGTTTGATCATCTGCTAATGAAACACTTTAAAATAAAAGCAAACTTCAACAGGTAACAGCAGAGAGAAAACCACAACCACTGTCTAATTAAAGCCTCTTTCTAATGCACAAAAACCAAGACCACCCAATGGCAAGGGCAGAACTGATGAATCCTGCTAAGGATTTCTCAAGCCTTTTTCGCCCCTTCTGCAGCACACAGGAAGGATGATCTTAAAGTATGAAACATAATTGCATCCCACAGACACGCTACTCATTAACTGATTTTTCATTTTTGAAAAGATAAACAGTAATATTAGACCAGTGCTGAATTACTGAAGAGCACTCTGAATTACCTGGACCTATGAATTAAGATATACATCAGATTTTGACCTTGCATCCATTCTGGTTTGAGCTGCTTTAGCTGGGTGGGATTAAAATCACATCAATAACAATACTTCTTTTCTCCCCCACCTAAAACACCAAGCATCACAAAAGATCTTCCCAGTTTCTCATCACAATGGTAGGAACCATTAGGAACTCCATTTTCAGGGGAAGGCTCTGGAAAGATGTAGAAGATGGGGAGTATACCCCTGTCACATCAGAGAGAGCTACAGGATGCATTTGTGTTCTTCAGCTGTCTTCACTCAACCACCTGCTCAGAGAAGAGATCATGGGGTTTGTAACTTGAAGACAACTCAAAAAAGATTCTGAATGCAGTCCGAAGTACCTAGTAATGTGGAGGGCCAGGTTGCTGAGGTGGCTGCAGAAAGTAACCTGGAATCCAACTACATCTGGCCTTCTGCTCACCTCCACATGGCACCTTCACTGACTTGCCATCATCAACACCAGTAACTCCTATACACTTGGCTGTGATATGAAAAGAGAAATAAAACGAGACACTTACCCTCCTTCAAAGATCTTGATCCTGACCGGCTCCCCTCTTTTGGTTACAAGAGCCTCTTCTTCTGATTTTCCTCTTTTATCCTCTTCCTTCTCAGCTCTAGTTATATCTTTTCGACCTTCATTAGAAAGGAGCGAAGGCAAATGAACCTATCTCCCCAAAAGAGCAAAACAATCATTGATTACATACAAAATCACTCTACAAGCTCCACAGACCAAACACTGCAGGCTGCCTCAGAAAGAACCAGCAACCTACCACACACGCTGCTCCTGACAGCTAAGTGCAGTAATTAGGAAAACATCTCAAGAAATGGGGCCTCTGTGTCTGGATTTGCAGCTCAGCTGGATATGTTACATTTACAGTGACCACTTACAAGCAGGGAACGTGCTTAAACCACCCCCTGCAGCACGGTGCCAGCTGGAACACCGAGGCACAAAGAAGTGCGGTGGCTTGGGGTCACTCTGAGCATGTGGCAGGGCTGTGGGTCCCTGGTCCCAAACTGTCCTTGGATAATCCTCTCTAAAATACGCGTCCACAAAGATCTCGAGAGCAGACATCTCTAGAATTCGCACATTTAACCTCAGCCCTTGGATTTCCCCCTCCACACATGCACACACATTCACACAGTTTTGGACTCTAGCCATCTAAACTTGATATAAATCACATAACAGTCAAAGCTCTTGTGTGATTTCCTTTCACCAAAACCCCGCTGCCAAGGGTGCAGTATGTAGAAAGCCAAAAAACAATGGGAGAAAATAATCCTCAACCTCCCCACGTGTTCCCAGGATGATTTTGCATTTTTCACCGTTAAACCTGCCACCCTTTGTTCAGCCCCAGCTTTGGTCATGCATGGACATCTCATCTCACATATTTAATATTATTTGTTAAAGTGTATGGGGCCTAAATATTACATCTGCCTCTGTACCTCCATGCAGTGCAAGGGGAACTCCCCACCTGGAATGAAACCTTGGGACATTTCTCTGCTAAAACCTAACATTACAAATAATGGGTCTCTGAAGCTTTGAAAGAGGGAAGCAGACTGCCTTTTACCCAGGTTACTTTTTACATAAATGCAGTAATACCTTTGAACTATAACTGAATCGCCCACATCCTCACTTCATATATTATTTCTGGAAAAAGGCTGAAGGTGTTTGAGAGACCCAGGGTTGGTTGTGAGAGGGATTTTGGCCTGAAAGTAGCAAACGAACTGGTAGAAGTTTAAATCAGAGCTGGTCATCCCTGACTCTTTACAGTCACTGGAAACAGTGGCAGCTCTCAAGAGTGATTCATCTGCCCTGCCTTAGACACACATCTTAAGGGGGGGATGAATCACCCAAGAGGTGCCTCTTTGTCTCCCATGGTTATAGAGGAAGCCACGAGTGACTAGCTCAAAGGGAGACATGCAAAATTTAGAGGGATGCAGCCCAGCCTCCCTGGCAGCACACTGCTGAAGCTACCACCAGATTTGCAGCAGCAAGAGGGATGGATTGACTAAAAAGTAGCTTTGCAACACTGAGGTCAAGCATTTCAAATTCATGCAGCGATGAATTTGCATGAGCTTCTTTTTTGCATGAGCAATGAATTTCTTGAGCTCAGCTCAGAGCATTAAATGCACCCGGGACTACCCCGTGTCCTCAGGATCAGCTCACACAGATGAGACCACATCCACACCATCTGACCCACATACCCTTCCAAGACACCTCCTGGGAATGGCCCCCGGCCTGTCCTACCTCTCTAAATATGCCTGGGAATTGCAAGGGAGAGGGCTGCCAGCCCAGGCCAGAACTGTGCCAGGGACCACTTTGACAATTTAACAGCAGAGGTGGGCTCATGAGGGTGTCTTTGGGCAGCGAGGGTTCTGTGCTTGGGGGAAAGCGGTGGCAGGAGATACCCAGAGCGCCCTGAGCAGTGTGTGACCACCTCCTGATAGGAGCTGTGTGTTCGTAACACTGCTAGTGAATACCTTCCCAGTTCATTTCCTTATTTACTGAGGAATACAAAACAATTGACTTTCTAGATGCAGAATGAGGTTTATTTATTGCAACTTTTGAAAGCACAAAACATAGACAGATGAAAGGCACCATGGAGAGCCAAAATCATACAGTCACTACTACCTCCTTTTACAATCGTGTTTAATTTACAAACTGTGCAAGCCCAATACAGTGTAATTAACCATCCCTACATGCATGTTGCAGCCTACAGTCACTTCAGAATTGATCTGCTCAGTAAATCCCACTGGTGATTTAGAAATCAAGCCAAGTACGTAGACAGTATACACAGTACAACTGCTTGCTGGTAGCTTGCTGCATGCATAATTGTACAAAATGTAAGAGCCATTTTACATTTTCTGTTGTGTTGACTGACAGCTTATAGTTACATAAAGAAGAAAATATTTAAGGAAAATAGCTAGAGCAGAGTTAACTGAAGGCTGAACTTTCAGCCTTCGATTGATGCTACTGCTACGCAGCTCCTGGTAATCGCATCTTCCTGAGTAACCAGCAATGCTACTTCCTAATTTGTGCCAGTCATACGTATTTTAGTGACTAAACTGAGGATTTCACTCCCACTGATCATCTAATTAAAAATATTTCTCTACTTGGCATGAGGTCAATTTGTCTCCATTGAAATTAACATGATTTCTGCAAAACCCACTCCTTTCAGCAGCAGGTATCAGTATTAAAATTTGGCTACACCATTTTCTAGGTGAATTTTGCAGGACAAACTCTAACTTTTGCAAACTATCATGAAAATTTTAACTTTTACCACCAGTCAGTTCATAGGGTTTTGTGTAAAAGGCTTTTGAGTCTTCTGAGTAAATGTATGCAGTGAAATAAGTATTTTGATGACTAAGGGCTGAACCACTCCTGTCTAGATCTGAACCTTTAACTTCATGGTATGAGGGTCTCTTGTATTTCTGAAATACACACTTCGTGTGCATTTTAGCACCATGTCAAAGAGCAAAGTTCAGAGGAGCACAGGCACTTCTATAGAGAATGAAATCAAGGATGGTACAACACCCTTCAGTTAAAATCCCTTGAAAAAGAGTGCATAAATATCAAGCATCAGTGTGGTTATTGCACTGCACAGGTAATTATCTGCCCCTAGGTCCCCAGAAATTCAGTCTTTTGGATTTCTGCAGGAGAATGATGGAAATGCTGAATAGAAATAAAGATTTATTGAATCATAGTGACTCTACTGTGTATTTTAAGACATATTTATAAGCAGCAGCTGCAGCAGTGATTATAATAAATTTAATATTCAGAGTTCATTTCATGATTCAGAAATAAAATGAATAATCCATCAATATAAATTGACTTGAGATGAATATCAAATTGCAAAATCTTTAGAGCAATTCTGTTTGCTAATCTACATGAACATGACCTGGATTAAAGGGATCTGTATGGTTCAGCATTAACCAAGAGAGAAAAAAAATTTGGCCTCAAAGTGAGATACAAAACACTAGGCAGTTACCAGAAGCATCTTAAAGACTTCTGTACCCATGTGGCCAATGACTCTGGTGAGCTCTGCCTGTGCAAAGCCGTTTACCTTGCTCCTCTTAATTCTAAAGACTAGGTATAAAATATCCGTAGATATCTAGAAAAGCAGGCAGACAGCTAAGGACATTAACTAAATGGACTAAACGACATGGCTGTTTTTACAAGACTCCATGTCTAACCTACTGAGGCACTTTTCTAAATGTCACTGCATGCTTATATGCTTCTTTGGGAGACTAAATACACTTGCAAATCTCCCTTTAATATTTTTAAATACTTTTAAGCACGCCTCTCCATGTTCATTAATGTGAGATCAGTAGATGCACAACCAGACAGAATCCCATTTCCCCAAGGTAATCCTTTTTCGTTTATAACATGCAAAATGTAGGGAATTATAACAGCATTTCTTAAAAAAAAAATAAAAAATAAAAAATGTTGTAAAGCTATTTGAAATATCAAGACACAAAATGCAAATCAAGTCTAATCCTTTGTGCTCGAGCAGTGGCGGTTCATGGTGCGGTGGTGATTCCTACATGCTCTTTTGATTACAAGGCAAGTAGAAACTGGAGAACAGAAATATGGCACATTGCCTTGGAGCAGGCTTGCCTTTTTTTTTTTTTTTTTTTGGATTATAGTGGGTTTTAGCTTCTTCACTCTAAAAGTTTCACTGAGAACAAGTGCTTACCAAACTGAGAAAGGGGATGAACAAATTCCTATTAAACTAACTGTAGCAATTCCCCATCCCTCGTCCCCCTCTTCCCATGTATCCAAACAGATGAGGAGAAATATATAGGATTGCATTACCTCTGTCATTTTTGGCTTCCTGGAGCTGGACGGGACAAGCCTGCCTGCCTCTGGACGTGGAGCTGTAGCCATGGTGTAGGTTTCCCTGCTCACCTTCTGCTTGGACCTCAGGAGGGACAGGGCTGCTTTAGTGGATATACCCGGAAGGTTAGGATTATACAAGCTAATACACCAGCTGGCATACACTGAAGACCGTCGATCGACTTGCTGCATGTGATTTGGCTTTATGTAGTTTAAATAGCACCAACTGACATTAGTGGTTGTGTGGAGACTGGGGAACTGAAGTACCTTCTTCATATCTGTACCTTCTCGAGACTTCATTGCACTGTGCGCGACCTCAGATAGAGGTGCAGGACTTGGAGGGGTCGGTGGAGACTGCTCCACCAGCTCTTTGGAGTCTTCTTTCTTCACGGTTTGTAAAGGTGCCTTGCTGAGGAACTGCTTGCCAGCTGGCTGCTTATACTCTTCCAGTGCCTCAAAACTCGGAGAACCTGAATGGGACACAGCTTGCTGCAAAGTACTTGGGATTTCCTTTGGCTCTGACTGCTCTAAGGACAAACTAGGTGGTGTTTCAACCTCAACCCTGCCTTGACTTTCTGTAAGAAAGTGAGATTTATCCTGCTTTTTCCCTTCCTCCACTGCACTGGGTGGCTTCACCACTTCCAACTTCTCTTCTGCTTCAGACACTTCCTCCTCTTTCACTCTTTTCTGCTGTTGTGTTTCCATTGTCAGCTCCAAACTACCAGCTGGAGAGAGCATCCTCTTGCTTCCACCGACTGTCGACGGGCCCCCTTCTAGTCCAAGGACACTGTCCGATGGGGAGGTGAGGGGCATATAGCCTTTTCGTTCTGGCAGGGGCAAGGGCACTCTCAGATACGGGCTCTGTAAAATGCTTCTTTGATCCTCTGTGATCATCTGTGCCAGATCAAAACCTAGCCCGTGAACATCAGCGCTACAGACCAGGGTACCCTTGGGTTGGCGATCATCGAATTTTGGGAGAACGATAGAAGAGGAACTGCACTGGGACTGAGTGACCAGGATCTGGGACAGCGTTGTGTACATTGCGCTCCCGTAGGACGGCATATTTGTCTGGATGCGAACGGGGACAACAAGCGACACCATTGGGTCTGAGCGTGCAGGAACAATGAGCTGAGACGTGGATACGGACACCGAAGGGCTTGTGGTGCGGGTCAGAGGATGCAACCTACTGTCTGAGCCATATTCTGTGCATGGGGAAAGGCTGGAGGTTCCTGCTGCCGGGAACAAACTGGATTTGATCTGCGGTAAATGTCCACCAGTTTCACCTGGCAACTGGAGAGCAAACTGAGACTGAAGAGGCAGAAAAAAGGCTGAAGGGATCGGTGAGGAGCTGGGGTAATGCACCGGCAGGAATGAAGGATGCTGCCTGAAGGGCACCTCGGCAGGGTGAGACATTAATGGAGGGGCGATATGAAGCTGGCCTGGGTGGATGAGCGTTTGCTGGAGAGGCAGTGGCGGGGTCTGAAAAATGGAAGGAGGAATCTGAGGCATGGAGAACTGAGCAGAGAGAATGTCAGACATCGTGTGTGCGGCAAAGAGCTCTGCAGACTGCCCCGGCTGTGGCAGGAGGTGCTGGTAGGGAAAGATGGACACTTGAGGGGACATGTACTGCTTCTCATGCAGCGTTAGCTGGGGTACGGGATGAAAGACCTGCAGAGCTTCCGTGTATGGCTGGGTATACGCTGGCTGGGGACTGTCTTTCGGCTGACTCTTATCACTTGGGTAGGTGCTGTGAGAGGGCAAAGGGGATGAAGACGCTGGCTGAGGGGGCAGACTTGTCACAGGAGATTTACTTGAGGAAGGAATTGGATCTTCTGTCTCCGGCCGGCCTGCTGGGGCCGAGTCTGGGTCATGCTCTGGGTGTCTAGTGAGGGAAGCCTGCCTGACCAGGAAGCATTTCCGTCTCTCCTGTGGAGCCGAGGAGGTCGAGGGGCCAGGGGTGGAGGCAGGGGTGGATGACAAGCTCCCGTAGTCGAATGATTTGCTGCGGGTCTCTGACATCTGGGAAGGATGGGACACATTCGGTGTCTGCTCAGAGGCAGATCTCCGCATCTCCCTGGAATGATGATGGTGGCTTGGTACCATCAACATATGTGAGCCAACACCAGGAGGCTTCGGGTGGGATTCAGAGGGCTGGCTGGTGGACTCTGTCTTGCTGTGATCTTCACGATCAAATGATACAGAGTGGCTGGAGCCGTGGGATATGCTGCTTTCCTGACTTGGACTTCTGGTGAGAGAGACTGATTCAAAACTGGACTCTCCGGAGGACTGAGCCATTTCTGCCAGCCGCAGCCGCTTCTTTTTTGGTGGGAGTTTCTCTGCAGGGAGCTGAGAAAGGGTTTGGCTTCTTTGCGGCCACTGAAATTCCTCTGTTTTTTCTGGCTCTTTTGGAGGAGGCTCTGGCTCTGTTTCTGGTCTGTCAGGCTCTTCCGTGACCAGAATCTCTGGGACCTGGATGTTGGGCTGCCGTACCAGCTTGGGCTGCAGAGAATGGGGTGGTCGGCTGTGCTGCGTGGCTGGCTGAGATGAATACTGTGACAAGGGCTTCTCTTCTCCCTCCAAGCTGCTCGCCTGCTCAATGGAGTCAGACTTCTCAAAGGAGCTCGTGTGCTGGATGACGGAGATCTCCTTTGAGGTTGTTCTTCTCTCTTTGCCCTCTGTACTTGAAGCCGGTTTGGTATTCCTGGAATGGAAGCTGGCACTGACATCAGAAGGTGCGGATTTACCCGGATCTGCTGGTGACTTAATGGATTCACGGGTTAAGTTTAAAGCGACATCAGATGATGCTGGGTTTGCAAACTGAGTCCCTGGCCCAGTACTGGAGGAGGGAGTGTCAGACATCTCAAAAGCTGGAGGGTCCTCGTCATCACCCAGACTCTTTTCTTTTCGTCTTTTTCGGAGTGGAGTAAGCTCCAAACTGCTCCCTAGCTTGTAATGCATCATCTGGGGCCATGTGTCAGGATCCACACTTTTCTCTGTCTCTGAAGAGGTATGGGAAGTGGAAGAACGAGGCTTTGAGAGCTGCAGTTCTGAACAGTAGTATTTCTTATGGGCTTCATAATTATCCCTTTTCTTATACCGAGCACCACATACGTTACACTCGTACATGAACCCTTTAACTTTCGGTCCCTTCCGTGACTTTTTGGTAAGATCGCTTTCCTTGGTTTCAGGCTCCTCGGGAAGTTTGGAAACAGTCTCTTTGTTTGCAGAGCTAACCTCCTCTGAGACATATTCTACTCCCAAAGGTAGCTCAATAGCTGGTTGTCGTTTTAGCATTCGAGGATGGGAAGAAAATGCTTGGCTGCGACTTAAGACTTCAGGCTCCATGATGTGATCATCAAATGAATAGCTACCTCTAAAGGTATGTGGGGAGCTTATAGTGCATGCAGCAGAAGGCATTGAGTGGCTTCTTAGGAGAGGCACTGTCTCTGTGGCACTGTGGGATTGCTGAAGTGACAACAATGATTGTTCGGGCTTAATTTTTTCACCGTGGGATGTCAACACTTTCGATGCATCCAACTGGCTACTGGAACCAGACTTGATATCAAACTGAAACGGTTCTCTATATACACCAGACTTTGGAGATTCGATGCTGCTACGTCTAGATAAAGAGCTTCTTCTAGGCTTAACACTATCTATTTCACTGGTATCTACAACAGCTTCATTAATTGTAATTAGCTTAGTGATGTGTTCAATAACCTGTGTTCTAGGCACAGATAACGGTACCATACTAGGTTTCTCTTCGGTAGAGAGGTGCGGAAACCCCTGGGTTGTGTTTGTAGATAACATTGCAGTCCTTTGCCCAATTCTACCACATTTCCCAAAAATAATTTCTGCATAAGATTTTGCATTAGTATTTGGTGGGCTTATCTGCTGCTCTGCACTTTCTGATCTTGAGAAGTAGCCTGACTCGGTACTCCCTTTGCTCCCAGGGCTCAGGAAAGCTTGTTCATCTATGACCTTCTTCCGTTCGCTTAAGCGGAGTGCAAGCTTCTGTTTTATAGTATGGGTATCTTCAGATTTATGGCTCAGAGTGTGGTCTGATGATGGCTCCACAAACTGGCTGCTGTCCTCAAGCGACTGGGACATACTGGAATGAGACAAGGAACACCGGTCGTGGCTGGAGCCTTGGCTCCCTGTGCTCAGCAAACTACTGGACAACAGGGTGTGCTTCTGCCTGGGGGAGAGCTCTGCTGGATGGCCCGACATTGCACCCGTTTCCTCCTCCGAATCTGTGCTTTCTCCTTCCGTGGGCTCCTCAAAGTCCTCCCCACCGATCCTTTCCATTTCCAAGCTTGACGGATACATCTCTGCTCCGATCCCTGAGGCCAGCCCAGCTTTTATTCGATGAGCATGAGATTTCCTATGTTTATACAAATTGCTCTTAGTCTTAAAAGAAAAGCCACATGGAATGCAAGGGTATGGCCTCTCACCCGTGTGTGACCTGATATGTTTTTGGAGCACACTTGGCTTCGCACAAGGCCTGCTGCAGTATTGGCAAATGTATTTGCCTGGCTTCTGAGGTTTCTTTTCCTTCTTGTGCACTTCCTCAGCTTGTTTCAAGGAAACCTGCGAAGGGCGAGGGATATAGACCTTTTGAACGGACGGCATGTCCTCTCCAGGAATGATCGGTGAATGGGAAGGTAGGAGCTGGCCGTGATGCGAGTGAAGCCCGGGTGATGAAAAGGAGCCAGAGGGACCTGGTCTTACTGGATCAACTAGCTGCCACGTGGGCCCTTCAAGGACGTGCTCAGGTTTCCCAGGAGACATAAATGCTGGTGACAGTGTGTGTTGCTGAAGCTGCGAGATGTGGGGAGGATGTTCAAAGGAGGAAGGCTTAGGTTGCTTCTGATGTCCAGTCTTCTCCTGAGATTCCTCTCTTGGAATCGGCAAAGAGCCAGAAAAGTGCTGCTGCGGTATGATATCTCGGAGAGGGGTTCCTTGCGAAGAAGCAGAGCTGCCCTGATACGTAGCTGCAGATGAAATACTGGCTTGGAAAGCCTCTCCTTTGGGAAGCCTCTTTCTTGGACTTTCCTCAGCCTTTTTTGTGCTCTTCTGGCTTTGTTCAGGATCCATGACCTTAAAAGGGTCTTTGAATGCTATTTCGGGAAGGTTTTGGCAGGCTTCATTTACAAATAATAAAGGGCTCTTCTGTAGATTCCCTGTTTTGCCTGCATTTGCTACAAAGCTGGAGCCGCCAGGAGATGGTTGTTGATTAAAGATTTTACTAAAGTGTCACTAGTTGCTATTTGATTCAAAAAAAAAAATGTTTCAAGGTCAATAAAGTTCACATTGGTAACACATGACAAACTACTTCAAAGAGAGAAAACTTTCCAAAACTTTTAGTCCAAATATTTTCCTTGTGAACTTGGTTAAGGCTTTAAACCTTGCCATTTTATTTCAGTTGACAGTGGCAAGTCTTCAAAGTCAAGATGCAACCCACAATGTGTCTCTTGTTTGTTATGCAAACCTTTGAAAACTTGAGACTTTGCTGCTCATCTCATAATGATCTTTTTTTCCTGTGCAAGGAAAATAACACTGAACGGTGTATGTCCCCCCGTGTCTTCCTTCTGTTCCACTTTTGAGTTCAAAAGCCTTGGAAAAGTATTTCCCACATTTCTGTAATTACATCCAAGAGAAAACAAACAGAAAAAGATTACTTCAGCATTTGTAGTTAAGTAATTAAACACTGCTACTTTTATAGAGAATAACAGTAAATATTTTGCAAAAAGAATAACTGACTGAATGTCTACAATTTACGAGACATTGCTTGTAATGGTAATCTAAACATAACTTGTATTAAGACAAACCTCAGGGACTTATGCTCAGTGTAATACACACATAACCTGGCACTGCAGCAGTAACCAAATACAGTAACTTGAAACACAGTCAGTTCTGAAAAATGTATCTAAATGGTTTCAAACTTGAATTCCTCCTAATCTCCTGCAAACATTTATGGTTTTACAATTTTTGTAATTATATTTCCCTTCCAAACAGACTACACAGTAAAACTGACTATATACAAAGCACTGCCTAACACAGCACATACATTCGCTGACAAATAAAATGCAAATCTTTTCTGAATAAAATCTGCTCTTAAGCTTGCAGTAATCTTCTGTGTCGTTTACAATAGCAGGTAAAGAGAAAGGATACACACTCTTTTACTGAAATTTTGCCTCTTTAATTTCCTGTCTTTTGCTACCAGACAATGATGCGAGTCCAACTTCTATAGCACGGACATTTCATTTGGGCAGAATGTTGAAATTGGCTGTCTATAAAGGCAAACCCTTCTTACAATGAATTTGAATGGGAGGCTCTATTAAACCTACCACACTTGTCAGCAAATACAGCTATTAACGAGACACTCCGGGAGGAAATACTCCTATTCCACTGAAATAAGACAGCATCACCAGCGGATAGAACAGAAAATGGGTGGAGTACTCCCAAAGAAATAGGGATGGTGCTTTTTAAGTGAAACAAATTGATACGTATAATTTACAATGAGACAGAAAAAAAACATCTTCCTTATGAAACTATTTTCTTCCATAGGGCATAGTGCATTGCAATGACAGAATGGCATTGGTTTAATGGGAACTTGCTCAAAACCCTGATGCTTTCATCCTGCCCCATGCAGGTGGAGGGTGCATGGATGGGGCTGAAGTATAAACCACAGAAAACAGGGAGGCATGGGGGATTTAACCCCACCTGCCTGAGATTTTAGCTGCACAATAGCCCAGCTTCATTCAAGGGAGCAATAGTGAAAAGCCAGCAGAAGAGGTCAGTTGTGTTCAATACAAAGTTCTCTGAGGACTACTCTTTATTCGGTCCTACAACCCTGGGGATGCTCCACATTCAAAGAGAATAAAGGGATGTGGAGTGTAAGGTAATTTAATTTACCAGAGTCTAAAGATATGGTAGCACCATGCGATACATCATGACCAACTAGACTTTACAAGAGTGGTTAAGAACTGTCTATTCCTTGGATGGGATTGATTTCGTCTAACCTTAGTTGGCTAGAAGTCAGGGTTCAAGTCGTTGGACTCCCTATACTGTCACTGAGAGGTGCAGGTGCCAATGAGGAACCCCATGGAGAAAGTGCAACCCACATTAAGGTCTCAGCTCAGTGAGACTGACTGCCCTGAGATGTCATCTCTTATTGACTGGAGTAGTGGTTTACTTGAACTGCTGTAACACCCACGTCTTAGATGCATGCATGAAAAAATCAGTCCTATCTTAATGCTTCGTCTTCCTTTTTCTGATCCCCTCCAGCATGAACTTTGCATGTTCCCAGGTCCTGCACTTGCTCCGACTTGCTAAGAAAGGTGTCTCATGTTTATGGGCTCATTGCTATGAAGAGTAATTAATTACATTTTAAAACCCCGTCTTGAAGAGTGTTGGCTCCTCCATGCTGACCAACACCAAGCGTGGTCTGGGCTAGACTTAGAGCACTGTATTTACAGCACAGGACTTACTCAAGATCAAAGACAGTTGTGAAGCTGATTTATCACATCAATTTTTGCCCAAGATGCTGTTCTTTACCCCACTTGTGACGCACAGAGCACATTAGCTTGGTAAAAGAGGATTTAAGACGAGACTTTTCCAGCAAGCGCAAATTGAACACTGCCTCCCACAAGCTCAAACACTCACATTTAAGAACTGCCAACTAAAGAACGCCTGAAAAACATGTTAATACCCTGTTTTCTCCTATAGACTCCATATCCACTCCTAAATGTAAAATAATTGTTTGTGAAAAAGCTTTCTGAGATGATTCAATACCATCCCAAATGTTCCATCGTCAGCCTCCTCTGATGAACACATGGGCTGCAGCTGATTTTGTCAGGAACTCTGCACAAAAGTTAACATTTAAACAATTGGTCAACAAACAAGCACACCTGCTGCCTACAGCAGCGAGCACAACCATTCTGGGGCAATTCAGGCTACTTTCTACATATTTTTTCCATTACTGGAAATGGCCTCTGGAATGACGATGGCAAAAGATGATTCTCCTAGCTGGACACTGTTTCTCCAGACAGATACCTCTGCAAGGAAAATTCAACAGTACAAAGTAAAGAAGCAGAGAAACATCGAGTGCACCCAGCTGAAAACTGTAGGAGGGTTTCTCCCCAATAAACCTGGAGGCATGCTGGAGCAAGAGAAGGAGAGCTTCCAAAGGGCAGGTTGTAGATGCCTACCCCTGCTCTGCCCCCAGCTCAGATACAACCTGGAGAAGCTAAAGAGAATCACTGCATAGACAAGAAAATCTATTCTTCCTTTATTTTCAGTTTCTTTTCAGTTTCTCTTCTCCTTCTCTCAGTCAAAATCTATCTTCAAACTTCAGCCTCTTTATTTTCATTATACTTTCCTAATTCTCCCATTTTTTTTTCTCAGAAAAGGCACATCTTTTGCTTTTACTTTCATCTCCGCCTCCTCATGACCTGAGTAGTCTCTTCTCTCTGTCATGTGTTATGCCTCTACTATTTTTGCTTATCGGTGCTGACTTTCATTTAGCTTGTGTTCTGCACTGCCTTCTCTGTAGATCAGTACAACAGCAGCTAATGCACAGCATGGCAATGCATGGCATTGGCACAACATCAGCAAATCCTTAAGAAACGAGTCACATGGATTTTATGGCATATGGTTTCCAGCTGCTAACATTGCACATCTCTGGCCAAATCCAAAGTACAGGCACTAAAATGGGGGATTCCAGCTATTATTTCAGTCAAACACCATTTCTTAGGGTTTTACTTTAAGTGCAATGGAGCAAACTTGAACAGAAATGCCTGTTTCGTTTGCAATCGACAGAAACAAAGACTGGCACCCTGATGAAGGAAATCAGTGACAAAATTCCCTCTGGTTTGAATCGGATCAGAGTTTCACAATGAAGCTTGAGATAAAATGCTAAGAAATGCTATTTTGGACAGTCTTGTTGGTATTTTGAGCTGCTTTGTTAAGGCTGAAATGAATTCCTGTGAAGATGCCCAGGCACACTGTCTCTCCAATTCCTAAACAGATCCTGAAGTCCTTGTAAGGAGTTTGAGGAAAAGTCAACCAGTGTCAAGTTGTACACGGACCCCATGTCCTGGGACCATCACCACACATACACAACAAGCTCTTTGCCAATGGATTTGGGGTTGGAACCCCCAGAAGTTGGAAGAGAAATGCTGCAGGCTGCACCTGACATCTGAGCTCCAGGTGGGAACGTCACTGACAAGAGATTTGAAGGAATCCTTCATCTATGTTGTGGTTGGCCTCCAGAATTCATTCCTTCTAAATGAGAAGTGGAAAACTTCAGTGCTTGGCTTTATGTTGCTTGCCTCTTGTTTCCAGCACACTGAAATGTTTCATTACAGTGGTTCCTTAAAACCCTATTGGTGGCAAAACTGTGCTGTTTGCAGTACTCAAGCAGATGGAAGGATTTTCTCTGTTGTTTGGTCCTGTCTCAGCCAGGTCGAGATCCAATGAGCTTAGTGGGACGCATTTCCAACAGAAACCCGGCCTTTCCATTACATTCCAACCATAACAGACGTTTTCTTCTATACATTGAATTTTAGCCTGTTTTTAAGGATGCCAGGCTTATGTCAGAACAGCTGCTGTACTACTGGAAAATCCGCCTGGTCATTCTCTCTGTGATAACTTTTAAGTCATTTGGCCCATTTCCAAATTTAAACAACAATTACCATATCTGACATACCTTAAGTATATTTAAAATGTTACAAGACTTGTGAAAATGAGTGGACTAAGCAAAATACAAGGTCCTATTTCTGCTCTGACAAGGGAACGGTACAGCTCCCTTCTTACCGGTAACCACTAAGCTGCCGTGTCTGCGGAAAAAAAAAGTAAAATGCTACATTTAGCATTTACCAATTTCTGTAGATGAATCACTCTGGAGAGACACAGCTGAGGGAAACCAAATCCCCTTTTTTCAGTAGCTCGTGGAGTTCCTCAGTTCTTATAGAACTGTGCAAGGTAATGCCTTATAAAAGCAGATCAGGTTATGGGCAAGCCAGAGGGCAGTAGGGCATTGTGCTACCTGGAGATCATGGTCTTCATGACGACATCTCTCAGCTGCAGCTTTGGATGATGGGGCAGATGCTACCTTAGATTTTCAGTGATTTATGACAGAGAGATTCACAATACAAACAGTGGGCAGCACTAGCAGATCTCCTGTCATTACTTCTTGTAACTACTCTCAATACTATAAAATGCTGCTGCAGCATTGGCAGGACTTGCCAGGCAAAAGTTTCTCTTATATACCAAGGAAAGAGCAAAGGAAACCAGCCAAACAGCAAAACAACTCATGTTTCCAGGCTGAGTCCGCTGCAAAGGGCAGTGCACACATCAAGATAATTCTTTAGGGAAAACAAAACAAAACAAAACAAAAACAGAGATTACTTACAGTGGACTTGATAGCCTGTAATTCTGACGATGTCTCTCTCTCGTTTGCCCACGATTTAATTCAGTCTGTAAAAGAAAAAGCACATTGGAATCACAATGCTCGTATATTAAAATGCCATCTCAGCAGTGAGCACACGGGACTTACATCAGGTGCCCTGATGGGGAGGATTGCTTGGTAACCGAAACAGTACACAAACTCAGCCCCAACAGCTGGAGGAGCCCTCGGTGACTGCGCTCACCTCCTTCAGCAAGTTCACCCCGAAGGCAGGTGAGGTGCACACCAGCAGAAAGCACATCACCGCGGGGTACTCCTCCTGCAGACCATGTGCTCATGGTCTGAGTACAGACCATGCTCTGAGTATACTTTACATGCAAGGAAAAAGACTTTTCCTTCATAGACATGCATTTCAATTCCATGGAAGAACATATGGTTCCTCCAAGTCAACGTCACCAAACCCTGGGTTCAGCAGCACCACACAACCTGTTCTGCAGCACAAGGGCTCCGACCTGCCACCATGACTCAGCTTGCAACGTAACAGCAGGGGGACAGACAAAACTAACCCGAACTCTTCCTCATCTATATGGTCAAAGCAGTTCTGAAATGCTGAAGGAACAGTGGGTAGTAACAAATTTGGGTTACTAAAGCAATTCCAGAATGCAACTCTGATTGCACAGAAACCCTGGTTAAGATTTTCATAAGCAGTTTAAGATCTCTTAAGCTTAGCCACAAATTTATACAAGCTTCAGGGGGCTTTATGTTCAGAGACAGCATCTCTGTATAAAACTGGCTGCTGCAGCACACACTTTATGGTTTGTGTTCCCCTAGGTCAAACATTCCCAAAGTTTTAAATGAGCTTCACTCCTGGCACATCCTCCAATCTGCCTTCAGCCCCAGCTTGCTGCCTTCTTGCCTTTTTATGATGCTGTGTCCATCTCTGGATTGTGCCTTGCTTATACCTCTGTCTTCCTACTACCACAGAGCTGACCATGCTATTCACGTCTCTATGTGGGGCTGCTATTCACAGTCCCATCCTCTTCCTTGCCCTGAAAATGTGGCACTGCTGCTGTGCTCCTACCCAGGCCCTGCTGTCCCCTCCTCATGCCAGCACCAGCTCTGTAATGTCACAGAGGGAAGCCTAAATTCCCATCCTGGCTGCAACATGCCACCTCACCAACCCTCTTCTCCATACTGCAGAACCCCTGGCCATCTGGAAGCAACCGTACGATCCAGACAGATGGGGTCATGCAAACATCTAGATGAGAATAAGTTTGGAAACAAAGCACCAAGGCAAGCTGCCTCCTTTCCCCTGAGGAGCGTGCCTGACCACAACCATGAAAAAAGGTCATTTTTTCACCACTCAGTTTTGCGTTCCAGTTTTGCCATCCCGACTCCCAGAAGGTGTATGTTCAGGAAGAGCAAAGCAGCGGATGGATGGCACTGCAGTGCCCGAACACATCCCTGTCGTCTCCCAGATCCCAGGGCCGAAGTGGAAACCAGTTTGGTGTAGTGTCATAAACTCCACGTGAACCCTGCAGCCACCACAAACCATGGCGCAATGAGCACTCACTTGGCTGGGAGAGGGCTGAAATTCCACCTCCCCGGGGCTCTGCATCCTCAAATCCAGCCATGTCTCAGACCACAACTCAAACCACTTAAATAGCATTGGTATCTGAAATCAGCTGGTGCTCCCATGCTGTGTTATGAACACAGCATGTACCAGAGGAGAGGTGCCCCCTGCACCACCAAGAAGCACTTGGCCATATGGTGACAACATATCACAGAATCACAGAATCATCTAGGTTGCAAGAGCCCTCCAAGATCACCTAGTCCAACCTCTGACCTAACACTAACCAGTCCTCCTCTAAACCATATCCCTAAGCTCTACATCTAAACGTCTTTTAAAGACCTCCAGGGATGGTGACTCCACCACCTCCCTGGGCAGCCTGTTCCAGTGCCTCACAACCCTCTCAGTAAAGAAGTTCTTCCTAATATCCAACCTAAAACTCCCCTGGCGCAACTTAAGCCCATTCCCCCTTGTCCTGTCACCAGGCACGTGGGAGAACAGGCCAACCCCCACCTCACTACAGCCTCCTTTAAGGTATCTGTAGAGAGCAATAAGGTCACCCCTGAGCCTCCTCTTCTCCAGGCTGAACAAGCCCAGCTCCTTCAGCCGCTCCTCGTAGGACTTGTTCTCCAGGCCCCTCACCAGCTTCGTCGCCCTTCTCTGGACCCGCTCAAGCACCTCGATGTCCTTCTTGTAGCGAGGGGCCCAAAACTGAACACAGTACTCGAGGTGCGGCCTCACCAGAGCCGAGTACAGGGGGATGATCACCTCCCTAGCCCTGCTGGTCACACTGTTTCTGATACAAGCCAGGATGCTGTTGGCCTTCTTGGCCACCTGAGCACACTGGTGGCTCATATTCAGACGACTATCAACCAATACTCCCAGGTCCTTCTCACAGAAGAGTCAATTCTCTTGCCCCTTTGGGACTTGAAGCCCACATCCCATATCCCCAGTCAGCCCCATCACCCACATGGCATATTTATTCTTTAGAGTACTGCAGTCATGAGTCAGAGACAGAGGAGAAACAAATGGGACCTTCACCTTACACCTCTGTGTGACGGTGCAGAGAAGAACAAGCCCTGGGTCCTGCTCCTACCTTCAGAAAAGCACTCAGAGATGTGCTTTATGGTTGAAGAGCCACAAGCTGGACAGACTCAGTGCTGAACTCCACGCAGCAAGAGAGCAAAGTCACACAGACACTGCTCGCTTATACCCAGGACGGATGAGCTGTTTGTATCCAGCAATCAGCTACGTCCACAACCCATAGTTCATCCAGCTGTGAGTCCCAATGGTGCACTTGGGGCCACAGATCACAGAAAAGAAATGCTGCCACGAGCAGCTGAAACTTTACAAGAAGAAAGAGGGGACACGCTCACTCAGAAGCAAGCAAAGTAGGGCAGATGCACATAGGTGCTGCTGCAGAAAGACACGGACAGTAGTTAATGGGTTAATGCTGGTGGGCCTTGCAGAAGCTCCTAACGTCCCCTGCCAGTCTCCTGGACATACAGTTTGTATATGTCCACTGTGCCTGCTGTGGACAGAGTCCTCAGGACACCCCCTGATGTCTTAACAGGAAAGAAATTCCCCAAACCGCTGCCAGCAATGGCATCGTGCCAGTGACGAGAGCAGTTTCCAGGCTGAAGGGGGTGAGAAGCTCTGGGGATCTTTCATCTGCTGCTCCTCTTCCTCAGAGGGCTGGAGCATGCGACGCGTCCCTCCCCTTTCCAATATCTGCATTTTCTGCGGAAAGGAGGACGCTGCTCTGAAAGCAGGTACGCAGCCCATACAAACAGTGACAGAAAGAAAAAACACATCCATACATCCTCTGCTGCTCAGAGCAACACCGACCGCTCCCTTTGTGCTCCTTGGGGATAAAATGAGGGTGTCCACATGAAGTGGGAACGTTGCTCAGGGGGCTGGTCTCCATCCTCAGCCCCCTCCCCTTAAACCCTGCCGCTGGATGATTTCTGGGTTTCCCACCTCATTCTAACCCAGCCTTGCCCCAGCAGCAGTTTATGTATTAAAGCTACAACCTCAATCAGCCACAGACAGGATTCTGGTAGTACCATGTGCCTGGTTTTGAAACTGGTTTCACAGGCACAGCATCTGCCGAGCTGCTTTGGACTTGCCGAGGGGAGAAGGCAATCCAGTGCTCAACTCATGTGATTCTGGTTCAATTCCCACTTCAGTTGCACGTTTCCTGTGTGAAACCAGGCAAGTCATATCATCAGAGGCCTGCATTAGTCCCCACTTCTAAAACAGGGATACTTCCCCATTTCACAGATGTGCTGTGAGTCACCCATTCATGTCCACGAGGCCCTCGGATACTATGGGAAGGGAGAGACCCACGGAGATAAACTATCCAGATAACTAGAAAGAGATGGGAAGACATCCAGGAGACTTTCCCTGCTCGTTAACAAGACACATGCTGTGTTGGTTCACTTTCACTTATAATCCACGTGCTTTCAGCAATTCCCCTTCTCACCAAGCCAGGCAGCCAAGGGCACCGGCACCTGCACCACAAATTACCTCATTTTGCCAGCAAGGCACATACAAATGGTTAATTTATTTTCATAACTTAAAACAGATTCTTTTTTTTTTTTTTCAAGAAAAAAAAAAAAGTAATTATTGCAAAATCTGCATTTTTTTAGAGCTAAATATTCCAAGAAACAGCACCACTGAAATTAGAAGAAATAAAAGCAGCAAGCCCCATGCAGCCTGGTGAGAACCACCACCAGGAGATGGCCATGGAGAGAGGCTTCCTTCCCCACAAACCCAGGTATGGGAAACCCCAGCTGAAAGCTCTCTTTCTCCCGGTCACACTCACAAAATGCAGAAGACAGGACAGTTTTTGCCCTACCTTAAAGGCCAGCACTCAGCTCTGCCACATCCAGCACCAGCCTTCGGTACAGTTTTAAGGCAGACCTAGCAGTTGCACATAGCCTCGTGTGCTGTCTGGACCAGCTCAAGGCTGCTCCATTGCACCACAGACAAACACACGCTTGGGAGCAGGAGATTTCAGTAATGTCATTTCCATCATTAAGATCAACTGGGATTTGAAGTTGGGTTTCTGCAGACAGTAAAGTAATGCCAATACACCACTCCAGAAGGTGGTTTTATTTTTTTTTCATTCGTAATGAAATTAATCCTGTTTTCTTGCATACAAAACTCAAGAAAACCCAGTTCTTTTGCAATTTTTAAGATGACCCTCAAGAACCATTCAACGCTGGTGACTGTGAAGTGGGATTATGTGCATCACCGTCACGTCTCCTCCCGAGGATTGTAAAAAGCTCTCCTGCTTTCACTTCTCACTCAGCCATTGGTGCAAAAAAGTCATTAGCGAACTAATATTTTGAAACTACTTCTGTGTAATGATTCTTTCAAAATTCATGTGAACTGAATGCTCCAGACCTGCCAAACCAAGAGTGGGAAGCCAGCTATTGGCAAGATGGTGATTCTTTCCAAGGTAATGTGTCTTGCATACAGCTAAAGCAGTAATTG